AGAAATATAAATTAAAACAACACTGAGATCATATCTCACCTCAAAAAGAATGGCGATCATCAAGAAATCAACTAATAACAAATGCTGGCAGGGCTGTGGGGAAAAAGGAACCCTTCTCCATTTTTGGTGGGAGTGTAGACTGATAAAACCATTGTGGAAATCAGTGTGCAGATTCCTCACAAAACTAGGATTAGAGGTCCCATTCGACCCAGCTATTCCCCTCCTGGGTATTTGCCCAGAAGAAATGAAAACATCATGCCACAGCAATATATGTGCACCCATGTTCATAGCAACATAATTTGTAATAGCTAAATCTTGGAAACAGCCCAAATACCCATCAACTGAGGAATGGATAAAAAAAGATGTGCTTTTTTGTACAATGGAGTACCAATCAGCTATAAAGAAAGATAAACTTGAGGCTTTTATAGGTAAATGGATGCAACTAGAGACCATACTAATAAGTGAAATAAATCAGACTCATATGTGTGAACATTGTATTGTCTCCCTACTGTAAGAAACTGAAAGAGTGAATAAGATCCAAAAGGTACAATAGATATAGTATAAGGGAAAGAAACTGCTCAAAAGCAAAGAACAACTGGACAATTTAAGCTACCAGTTCATCAAGCCCATGACTTCTTTTTAATAAGCTCTTTATTTTGATTCATCTCAGAGATAGCTCAACTATAACTGCATATAACTTTTCAAGAATGATAAATAAGAAAAATATTTTCTGTGGCCTTGCTTCTTTGATAGCATCTTGCTACAGCTTTCATGCAATGTGATAGCTTGTCTGGGCGACAGACTCACTCCATAATTGTACAGATGTTTCACTACTGTTATAATACATAAGGTCTTGAGATAGACTGGTATTTATTCTGTTTTGTGTGATCTTTTATTTGAACAAATATTTGTGGAATCATTTCCTTTACCTGAAATTTTACAAGATCCCAAGTATATGTCTGCATATTGATTTCAATAACTGCCTAATGACCATTCATTTAATTTAATCTAGGGGAGACATCAGTATACATTTTCTTTCCAGAGCCAGATAGTCACAACTGTTCAGATTTCCCAGCGTACATCTCTCTTCAGATTACCATCGCCTTCTGGTTCAGGTTGGGAGAAGAATAAACAAACTGAGAGGGAATCTACGGCCTTGAAATCTGAGGAGAAATAATTGTCATTAGAACCTGCAGATGATACTAACAGCTAAGGTCTGATAGGTAAGCAGGAGCAGCTGTCATGGAGGAGAGGGCATCCAAGTACGTTTGGAAAATCAAAGGACTACAACAAACTCCAAGGAAGATTTGAAAAACTGTGGGTTGGAGGATAGAAAACAGGGAATAAGACAAAGGTCCAATCGGGTGGATGGAGTGAGGGGTTGAGTCTGAAATACTAGTTCTTAGATGAGGCTGTTATGGTTTGTGTCTAGATGTCCCCCCAAAGCCTCATGCAGTCATGGGGGACAAGTTTTTTTGGAGGTAGCTGAATCTAGAGTTTGTGACTGATTAATAGTGCAATGCTTGAATTAAGAGTGCTGGGATTAAGGGTGGTTGATTTCTGGATCACTCCACTGATGGAGTTAGTGTAATTTGTACTACTTGAATTTCTCTCTTGACTTGCTGGAAATACTTGACTTGCCTGTAAAGTGTCCATCCTTGAGTATATGCTGACATGCCTAGCCACCTTTGTGAGAGCTCTGCTGTTCATAACTTAAAGGAGTACTCCTGGGTTGATGAGCTCATTGTCCTTCATCCATAACTCCATGACTTGAGCAAGAAATGGGAGGAGGAAGCTTTCCTACCTTGGCAGCTAAGGAAACTTGGTTAATATAGAGGTAAAATGAAGCAGAAGCCACCTGGAGTGCTCAGCCAGCACATGGCCAACACATAGCATTCTGAGAAGTGCCTGGGGAGTGGACTTTGCACAATTTTACCTTTTTAATTATTGTTATGGAAGTTTATTTAATCTATCATTTTAATTTAATCTATCATTTACAACAGAAAATAAATAAAAATGACAAAAAATCCCCACAGAAAGCTAATAACTTGCTGGTTATAGAGAAGAATATAAAGTATACATGGTAATCAAACTAAGCAAGGCTCACCGTAGTACAGTACTACTACTTAACATGAAGTAAGACAATGTACATACATTTTACTGATAGGCTGTATGAACTACAATGATAATTCAATCCCTATGAACTGTTTTTGTGTGAATAAATTGACAAATATAAAGCAAACACTGTGTGAAATGTAAGAAAATATAGACATAAATATATTGTAACTTTAATGATAAAGTGCATATTGCCAGAAAGACATACATATCCTGGACCTATAAGCATCAAAACATACAAAGACAGTGAAAGTTGATCAAATGGCCCAGATGCTTTGCACAAGTATATAAGTGCTTAACACCTTACGAGTGGTCTGTTTTTTAATTTATTGGTTTTAAAGGCTTTGGTGGTCTGGGCAAGAGCAGTTCTAGTTAAGTTCTGGGAACAAAAATTGAGTTTTCTAATTGTCATCAGAATGGGAGGGTGGCCAATTTATGCAACTGTGAGGGGAAGGCGAGGAGCTCATGAGTTGAGTAGGTAAGAGAATTGATACCTGAGTATGTTTTCTGTACTGAGGGAATCTGAGAAGAGCATAGCAGATAGAAACCTTCCCTGTGGAAATAAGAAGGAATGGAACCAAAGAGACCATCTGTTCTGTACGAATGCCCCAGTCAGAAGGAGGAATCTTTCATAGTCTAGAGAGCAAAGGGTGGGTGAAGATGGAGAAAACACTGGAAGGGTGACCTGAAAACTTGAAAGAAGGCCTGCTTGGTGGTTTCTTCCTCGTTGGTCCTAACTCTTCCTCTTATCATTGCATAAATCAAACCAAGTATCACTCATGACAGTCATTGCAGCCATGCTTGAAGATAATTACTATGTCCCCTCTGAGATCCAATTCATTGTTCTATACACCCAGGTCATTTAATTATTTATTAGGGTTTCAAATTTTATCCCAATTTCTAAGGCAACAAATGATAATCAAAGTAGTATTATTGATCTCTAAAGAGATAAGTACCTAGAGATATCAATAGATTAATGAAACTTGCTGTTTTTCTTTTTCTAGAGAAAAAAAAGAGTAGATTCCAAAAACAAGAGAATGATGTTTATTATTCTTCAGCAACACATAACACAAGTTACTAGGGTGAAGGTTAAAAATGATAGAAAAGAATGTAAGGTTCAAAAAGCCAATGTAGGTTTGCTGAGAACCAACCAAGCAAACTAAACAACACTAGGATAGCGCTCTTGGGTTCATGTATCTGTTTAAGGTTTACACTACATGACCTCTAGCATGTAACACTACTTTTTTTCCCTCACAGAATTCAATCATCCCCTGACTCCTACACACTCTCTATCACTGTAGTTTCCCTATTACCTTTTTAGCTGATTCTTCTTAATTTACTTGTTTCTTTGATGATCTCCTTTCCTTCATGTTCTTTTAAATTACTGTTTCTTTGAAGGTACTATGAAAACCTTCAGATGTCAAGTTACCTGGAGTAAATGTCAAAATTACCTGGAGCGCTAGTTAAAATACAAATGCCTGGCCCACCCAACATCCTCAGAATTGCTATCTCAGGCAGTGGGTCCTGAGTCTCCAAGTGGAATATACTGCTACACAGGCAATTCTTATGTGCATTGATATTTGTGACACAGCTTTAAGTGCCCACAATCCCCATTCATCCTCATAGTCACAACCAGAGCTCACTTCTGTCTGAGAGAGTTGTTTTCAAACTACAGAAACAAACACTGGATCCCTTTGGACAGCTTCATGTGGCGGCACAGAAGAATCAGTCTATAAATCAACAAGCAAAACCGTAGTCATCATCTCCCCTTTTCTCTTTCAGAGTTAAGTTAATATATATGTCTTGGTATCTATATCTAAAGGTGGTGGTTGGCCATAACATCTTTTTTGTCTCTCTATTATTCTTCAGTAGTATCTTCAAGCAAGGTTTGCATTCTACCTCTTTAGTATATATTACTTTTCTCCTTTCCATTGGCTTGATTTACGCCTTCTCATTTATTAAATGGGTGGTAGACTCAGTCCTCTTTCTTAGTCTTCTTTCTCTACTTTTAAACCATTTTCTACCAAAAATAAGCTTTCCAAAAGGTTCATGTGTTCGGGTCATTCCTCTCCCTCAAACGCTTGGTTTGCATTACATCATGTACAGAAATGAGCTCAAACCTCAGCTTTAAGATATGCCGTTGGGCACCATATAGAAACACTTCCTGCCACCTACCTCATCTTTGGACATTGACATATTCTGATTTCCCAAAGGTATTAAGCTTTCCTGTGTTTTTATTTTTTAAAAAATTTCTTACAAATGATTTTCTTCTCCTGGAGTGTGCTTTCTATACTTTTTTCTTCAATCAATCTTACTATTCATTACTGAGGTTAAGACGTCTTTCCTGAGTTTATAGCTAATATAAGTTAGAGATCTGCCTTTTATGAAGAATCTTACGCTCAGCTCTACCACTGAATTTAGTAAGCTGCATTATGGTATTCTGTTCATTTTATCATGTTTCCCACAGAATAATTTTTTTGAATGTAAGATAAGATGTAGGTGAAGTTAAGTGGATCTTTAAGCTTATACATTTCTCAACTTCAACAAAGTACGTAACTGTATTAAGAGAATAAGATAAGGAAAGAACATCAGGTAGACTTGTAAGTCTATTTAACCAAAGCTTGATGATATATTGATTAACCACTTGATATTATATTTGTAGCAGAATGAAACAAATTTTTCTTTTTGTTGTTTTCTTTCAATATTTTTATCAGTACTGTATATAAAGACAAAGCCTACATCATTATCAGAACTACACATCATACAATGTTGGGAGTGAGTCTAAAACCATCCATGTAAAGCTTGTTTAAATGACTCAGCAGACAGGAATATTGACAGGCAATCCAACAAAAATTAAGCAACCATAAATAAACTCCAGATTTTAGCTTCGAGTCTATTTCACAAAAATAGATGAGTGGATTTGTTTTGTTATCAGCTCATATGATATAGATTTAGGTATGTTTGTTTATTAGAAACACAAAAATATTCATCAGTATGAGTGATTATAACATAGATAAATTGAATGAAGCAATATCAATCCCAACTAACACAGTATCTGAGTTTGATATTGATTTGAAGTAGTGCTGTGATTTGGATAAAGGCTTTGTGAGAGCTCCTTAAGTCATTGGGGGAGTGTCCTTGAAGTGGACTGTGGAACCCCATCTTTTTCCTCTTTCCTTTTGCTCTCTGGTTCATGATATAAATAGGCTTGTTTCACCACATGCTACTGCCATGATGTGTTGCCTCATCCAGTTGGCCCAAATAGTTGAGACCAACTGATCATGAACTGGAAACTCCAAATCTGTGAATCAAAATAGAACTTCTTTGTAATTTAATCATTTCTGGTACTTCAGTATAGTGACATAAAGCAAACTAACCCAAGTGTTATGACCACTTCTAGTTCTGACTGATGCATTAGAAGAGGGACCCTGAGCAAATAGAGCATGTACTCAAGAAAAAGGAATCTAGGTAGATACAGTAGATAAGTATTATTTTATGGGGAGGTGCAAAGATGTAATTGTTAAGAGCCATTGAATAGTTTGTTTACTTACTTATTCAACAAGTATTTGTTGAACACCTTCGTATGTTCCAGGTATGAGTCTCAGATCAAGGGACAAAGTGGTGGATAAACCACTCTATTCCAGCTCTCATGTGATACAGGTTATTTGGTGAAGAAGGAAAAGGAAAATGAAAACCAATTAAGGAAGTGAATGAACAATATCATTTGAAATACTTATATTATTAACTTTTAAAAGTCAATTCAAAGTGATTATGGGCACTTTGTATCGGGTGTGCTGGGATATCAAGAGAGTGTCCAAGAAGACACTTGGGCTAAAATTTTAATGTTTTGAAGGAGAATTTAGCAATGTAAGTATTTAGGGACAGAGTGTCTGGGGTAGAGAGAAGACCAAGTGCCAAAGCCCTCAGAGTGGGAGTGGGCTGTGTGCGTCTGAAGAACAGGAAGAAAGCATATGTGCTTCCCTGTGCTGAGCTTGGGGAAAACTTCCAGATGAAATTGGAAAGAAAGATGGGTAAGTGATTTTTGTAGGGCACTATTGGCTAATGTAATAGTTTTAAATGATAAGTCCTTCCAAGAACTACAATATAGTGAAATTAGTGGATCATTTTATGACAGGGAAGGGTCACTCTGGCTGACGTTCAGAGAAGGTGTCAAGAGGAGCAAAACTGAACATATGGAGGGCAGTTAGGAACTTATATTGCACGGGTATGAGTAAGGGATTTTAAAGCTTCAATAAAAATTGAAGCAGTTGATATCGAAAAAAGAAAATAGATTTTGGGTACATTTTGGAGCTACAGAAAAATAGGTTTGGTTACCAATTGGATGGTGTATGTGTGGGACCAATAAAAGAATTGAAGTGTGAGTGCAGTACTTAGTCTTGAGCAACTGAATAAAGAAACATATTCTGGAGTGAGAATTGAGAATATAGTTTAGGTCATGTTAACTTAAGCTAAAAATCTATTCTAGACTCCAATAAAGATGTTAAGTAGGCAATCACATGTAAACATTAGAATCTCTGTAGAAAAAAAAGTTACTGCTGAGTGCTTAGGTCTAAGTTCAAGATGGATTACAAAATATCTGTGTGACTTTTAGCAGAAGTTCCCTGGTAAGACCTTGACTTCAAATTTGAAAAAAATGGGAAGAATAATCATGCTCATTTTATGTGTATGTAAAATGCTGAAAGTAGATACTGAAAAAACATTGCCACCATGACTTCTGGAAGGTAAGCTTTTGTGGTACACTATTTATTTTATTAGTAAGAACACTTTCGTTTGCAAGTTGCAAATATGATAAGAGCTCATTGGGTCAGAACACTCTACAGTGACTTAAGAAATCAAGAGGGACCCAGTTCTTTTCATCTTTTTGCTGTGGTTCTTCTCAGTGTATCCACATATTCTTGATTACAGCAACTAAATGATAATACCTGGTGGAGGGAGCAGATCTGTGTATTTTTCATCCTTCTCTCTTTTCTTTCATCAATCTTTTACTTTGAAAAATTTCAATGGCCCAAGAAAATTGAAAGAATAATCTTTCCAATCCACTTGCTGACATTATACCATTTTATTCTAAGTACCTTAATATCTCCAAAGAATAAGGAAATATCCCACATTAGGACTGTACAGTCATCAGATTTGAGGATATTAACAGTTAATCTATAATGTCATTTCAATCTAGTGCCCATTCGAGTTTTCTGTTGGCTCCCAGTTATGGCTTTACATCTATGTTTCAAATCTAGGACCCACTGCATTCATTTATGTCTCTATAGTCTCTTTTCATCTAGAAATCTGATACCTTATTTTTCACCATATCAATGCTTTGAAGAGTTCAGGCTTTGTAACATGTATGGTGTTCTGGATTTATCTGATGGTTACCTTATAATACCTTAACTTTTTTCTCCATTCACCATATAACCAGAATCTAGATATTAGGTCTAGCATCTCAGGTAGATTTAACCTTTCTTCAGCAGGATGACTTCATGGGTATTGCTAGGTACTGGATGTCATAGCATAGTGATCTGGCCATAATATCAGGCTCTTCTGTTATTGATGCTGATAAGCTTTACCCCCCAGTTGAGCTAGTGGCAGTCATATCTCTGTTATAGTGGCCTGTATTCCCTTCAGAGCTCGGTAATTTATCTGGTGACGGGAGTTGTGCTTTACCACTATGATGTTTTACCACCCATTGTTGATTCTGACTTAAACTGTCACGCTGAGAGTTAAAAAATATTAATTCTCTACTTTCATCATTCCTTTATGTTTATTAATGTGTATTATTCTGTAGACAAGATTATTCATCCTTTTACTTAAGTGTTACTGTGGATTTCTACATTTATTTCAAATTCAATATGACATTTATAGCAATTACTCAGTATGATGTTTAGACTGTCCCAAATTTTGCCAGTAAGAGCATCTTCAAGCTTGCCCCTGCGTTTTTAACATTGTGCTGTTAGTTTTGGCTTTAGCAGAATAAGGTATCTAATATTAATTTTATACTTCTCTATCTCACACATAGAATTAGCCATATATGAGGGAAGCTATCATTGCTTTAAGTGTGGACAGGCATTTAGAAACCAAAATATGTCATTCAATGTGCTTTTTTGGAGGTGCCCTGTCATTCTTTCTACCCTCTTGTAGGAGAAATAGCTGGATATATATACATACACACACAATGCATATATAATATATATACACATACATATATAACCTGTATAATAAGTTCATGGATATCTTTCCAGTTAAAATCTAACTTTGCATTGTCTTATTTTGCTTCTTGTATATATTTTCCCCTTAAAATGAAGGAAATGTTAATGCAAATATGTATCAAAGAAATTGTTAAGCATACAAAAATAACTTAAGAACTGTAGTACCAGCATCACTATAAAAACCTACTCAGTAAATTTTAATATAATTTTTGTAATAAATACCATTAAGGGTGTATAATCAGAAGGGAATGTTAATGAGTTATATGCTGTGAAGATTGTGGTTATGTTATCACTTGGGTATGGAGATGTGCTCAGTGGTTTCATGTCCCATTTTGGAGCAAAGAAACAATTCCTAGGAAATATAGGGTGACCTCTTCCATGTCTCACTGGCAAGGAAATGGGATTTTTGAGTTTGGCTTTGACTCACTGGTGATTATTTCTGAGTCAGATGGAGGAGAGAGAAAAACCAAGACAAAATCTGGGCTCTATCAGCAGAAAGAATGGAAAAGTCTGTTTGCCAGCATCACTGTGTGCTACATCTATTACTGCGATAATCGTTACAAATTTCTAGGCCAGTTCATTAGGTACATGCATATATACTTTTATGCTAATATGTGAAAACTGTGTAAATCCCCAATAATGGCATAGCTGTGGAAAGGATGGTTTTTTGAATGTTGCTAATAGCTATGTAAATATGAATTATTATTGCAAAACTCACCTTGACAGGATATTTTATGGTTTGTCTTCAGAAACTTAATACCTTTGAACTTGTCATGTGCAAAGAATCCAAATAATTCAAACAACTTAGATGTCCACGCGGTAAAATGGTTAATTAAATCATAGTGCAGTTGCTTGATGGAAGTATAACTTCATAAAAAATAAATACAACTACTATGGGAATCAATTGGAGATTTATTAAAAAACTAAAGCTATAAATTTCATGTGACTCAGCCATTCCTTTTCTAGGTATCCTCCCCCAAAGATAAAAGACCTTATATTACAGTGATGTATGCATACTCATATTTGTAGCAGCAAATTTAATATTAGCTAAATCTTGGAATGGCCTATATGTCCATCAGGGGATAACTGGGTACAGAAAATGTATTTATACACAATGGAGTACTACTCTGCCATAAAGAAGGATAAACTTGAGTCATTTGTAGGAAAATGGATGCATCTTGACACTATAATATTAAGTGAAATATGTCAGATACTCAAACTTAAATATCAAGTGGTTTCTCTCTTATGTGATACCCAAAATATAAATAAAGAGGAAAACAAAAGAGAGACAGTAAGACATAGGGAGATAGATCTTTGTCAAATAAGAATGGGAACAAGAGAGGGAGGGAGGAAGTAGGGTGGAAATGCATCAAAAAAATAAAGTAATTAAGGTGAAATATGTACATGTGCAACTCCCTACAAGAAATGTAAATATTATATACTTCAAATGTATAATAAAAAGTAAAAAAGAATAAAATTTAAAATAAAATATAGTAATAATTATGAAAACCACATAGTAGCCATGTAGTAGGTAAAATGTTTATAAAACTTGGTGGGAAAAAAGAATATAAATGAATGTCTACATGATGATTATAATTTAAGAATTATATCTGGCAAAGGCTCAGAGAACGAAAAGAAGGAATTCAGTTTGTTGGGGACTGGTGGACAGTAGACTGTAAATAAATTTTCTAATTTATTTAGGATTTTGTTAATGTTGGTCAACTAAATACAAAACAATGGTGCAAAATTATTTTTTCATGTTCTGAAGTTAGCTAGGTTGATCTGAGCTCTCAGAAGAATCTATACCCTTTTGAGAAAATTCTCATTGTATCTGCAAGCACTTTTGTAGCCTACCTAGCCCCATCAACTTGGAAAGTATAAGTCAGATTCCGCAATTACCCTAACAGAATGTCAATTGTGCCACTGGAATGTCTCATATCAAAAGCCGATGGAATTCGCTTCGTTCAGCCACACAGAATAAATGCACCCTTGGCGCTGCCAGAAAGCTCAGTCTGGAATTGATTGCTGTAGTTCTCTCCCGGAGCACAGTTGAGTTGATTGCTTTCTGAGTTCTCTGAAGGATTTACTGCGCATGTGCCTACGGGGCTGTCTGTGTCCCGGGATGGGGCAGCACCTCATATCTGGGGGCATGGAATGGAAGGGTCTTTTGGAGGGGCGAATCCACACTTAGAAATTCAGTGCCAAGAGTTGAAACTTAGAATTTGGAACACATGAGAAAGGGAAGGAACTAGAAGTAAATATTCAGACATCCAAAATAAAAGGTCAGGTAATGGAAACAGAACTCAGTAGAAAATGAGTTTCTCAGAGTATGCGTGTAAGGATACTTACGTAGGTCTTGGCCAGAGCAGGGATAGCCTCTGGAAAATCCTACCTCAGTATAGATAAGTAATGGAGTCCTCGGGTTTTTCTGCTCAAGGAAAAGTATATACTTTTGGTTTATATTGGCTTTGCTCATTTAGAATGGCCTTTCCTGAGTAGCAATTTCACATTTTTTCCTTTTCTTTAATAAAGAATCTCTAGGAAAAATTGCTATGTGAAGACTACTGCTTTCTCTTCTGTAGAGCCACTTTGAAGCCACCGTCTGTTGTTTTACTCAACAAAGGGGTGATGAATTCTGAATTCTTACAGCTATGTGATGAAAGCTTTTTAGAATTCTTTTCAGAATACAGTGTCAGGAAAACAAATCTCTTCTTTGTACATCATGGTGAAAACCATGGAACTATGGCCTTAATTCTTTTTTTGCTTGAGGACCCAGAAGCTCACCACTAAATGTAAAGTCTACATACTTTTCTTACTCTCGGCGTCAGGATTAATCTCCTGTGCTGTCTTTGTCATCATTTATGTATATTTGGACTATTTAATTTACATATGTATTCTTTACTGAGTCACATCAAATTTAAAAGGGGGTATAGATTATTTGTAAATAAACATCTGATGTGAAAACTGAAGACAACAATTTGGTAGAGGAAGGAGAGAGGTTTAGTTATCTTGCAGGCATAAGTTTAAATTGCTGCTCCTCTATTTTTGAGCCTATTCCTGGCCTTCATTAATACTCATGTCTTCATTTGCTAAGTGGAGAGTGTTGATCAGATAAAAAATCCAGAATACATCTGTGTAAATTAAAAATTGTTCTCTCCCTTCCTCATCATTTTGACCTGGAAAAGGAGACTTAAAGTAGACACATATTTCATATACAGGAAGGACTGTCATGGTCCAAAGAAAAAGCAGAGATAGGATTGGTAGATGAATATAATAAATCAGATACACAAATCTCAATATTGCCTGGATTCTCTCATGTGAGAAACCCAAAATATAAAAAAGAACAAAATAAAAGGTAGATAATGGGAAATAGAGAGATAGATCCTTTGCAAAAGGGTTAGGGACCAAGAGATGTGGCAAGGAGGGAGTTACATGTACCAACCCGCCTCAAGGACTCTAATCATTACGTACTGCAAAAGTGTACTAAAAAATTGAAAATGCTTTATTCAATTCTAAAAAAAAAATGTGGATTCCAGGAAGGGTCAATTTTCTTACTTATTAGGTCATTCTAGATTCTCATCGCACAAGTAGTGAGCAAATCTAGTTGAGTGACCTCAAGGTATTTGAAACCAAATTAGGATACTGGATGGAATACTGTCCCAAGTGCCATAAGAAGCTCTGCCCTGCCCTTAGCTGCTCTGATTAAGCTACCTTGAACCTCCTCAAACCTGCTCTTAGCAACTAAACTGACCATGTCAAACCCTGATCTCACTAAGCACATGAAAAACAGTTTAGAAAGTAAACTGAAGATTCTGGGGATCCCTTTTGATGTTTTCAGAGTTGGTTTCTCTGATTTCCTACAGGCTGTGTAGAATCCATGAAGACCTTAACCAAAAAGAAGGAACCTAGAGTTAGAAGTAAAAATTTTTCTTCAGACTAACTTAGTGTTGTCTATAAATAAACTGATTTCTGATTATAAGTAACAAACCTTCCACAATTTTTCCTTGAAACTTTACTGAATCCATTTATCCATTCTAACAGTGTTTCGGTAGAGTCTTCAGGGTTTTTTATACGTAAAATTATGCCATAAGTAAGGACAATTTCGTTTCTCTTTTTTCCCTATTTGATGCTTTCAAATTATTATTTTTGTCTAAGAATTCTACCTAGGACTTCTAGTACTATATTGAACAGAAGTGGTGGGAGTTGATATCCTTATCTTACTCCCGATTTTAGAGGAAAAATCTTCAACTGTTCGCCCAAATATGAAGTTAACAGTCAGCTATGCATATTTTGCCTCTATTATATAGAAATGCATCTTTCTATATCTAATTTATTGTGAACTTTTTTATCATGAACAGATGTTAAATTTTACCACATGCTTCCTGTGTGTCTAGTGACATGATCACATAGCTTTTGTCTTTTATTCTGTTAATGTGGTGAACCACCATTGTTGATTTGCATATATTGAAACACCCTTATATCCCAGGAATAAATCCTACAGGATTGCAGTGAATGATCCTTTTAGTGTATTCCTGACTATAATTTTATAGTCTAGTCACGTGTCAATTAACAATGAGGCATTCTGAGAAATTCGTTGTTGGTGGTTTTTTCTCACTGTGTAAACACCACACAGAATACTTACACAGACTAAGGTGACTACAGTGTCACTTGGTAATACAATCTTAAGGAACAACCACCATACGTGTGCTCCATCATTGAACAAAATTTCATTATGCAACCCAGGATTGTGGGCTTTTAAAAAATATTTTTGTCTTTATAGTCCTAAATAATACTGACCTTTAATGTCCTTTTCTGGTAGTGTCAGCCTGGCTTTGATATCAAGGAAACACTGGCCTTGTAAAATGTATCTGGAAGTACTCCCTCCTGTTGAACTTTTTGGAAATTTTGAGGAGAATTGGTATTAGTCCTTCCTTAAATATTTAGCTATAAAATCATCTGTTTCTGAACTTTCCTTGATGGTAGTCTTTTAATTGGGATTCAATCTCCTTGCAAGTTATTGGTCTGTTCAGATTTCTGAGTTTTTCATAATTCAGTCATGATGGGTGTGTTTCTCAAGGAACTTATCTCTTTCTTGTAGGTTTTCCAATATTTTTGTGTACAAGTGTTTGCAGTACTCTCATAGGATCTATTTTATTTCTGAGTTATCAGTTATAAAGTCTTCTCTTTCATCCCTCATTTTCCTTAGGTCTCTTCTTTTTTTTGCTTTAGGGAGTCTAGCTAAAGATTTGTCATGATTTTTTAAAGGATTTCTAAAAGCCAACTCTTAGTTTCCTTAATTTTTGAGTCACTTTTCTAATCATTACTTCATTTATTTCTGCTTTGGTTTTCAGTATGTAATTTTTATTTTTAAATTTTAAATTGAAAAGTTATAGCTGTACATATTTATGAGGTACAAAGTGATGCCATGATCACATTCTACCTATTTCTCCCAGATATTCTGATTCAAACTTTGTGGGTAAACCTTGTTCTTTTCCTTACTATCAGGTTAAACCAATAACCAAGGTATGTCTAGTCTTCTTTTGAAATATTTTCACACCCACATTTTTTCTCACAGGTTGGCCCAATGAATTTAGGTACTGGGATCACACATTACTTCTTTCAAATCCCAGTTCTAAGCTTTTCTACCTAGAGGGACTTAGGCAGCTACTTAACTACCATGATCCTCTGCTGATAACTGTAAAATACTCTCACTCACAGTTGTTACATAGATTGAACAAAAGAATTATGTAATTCACCTGGCATAGGGCTGAGTGTATAACATTTGCTTAATAAATCTTAGTTTGTTTTCTTCCTTCTTAACTTATCTGAGAGTTTCTCTAATACCTTTCATTAAGGAATCAATTACATATTATTCTAAAGTATTCATGGAAGTATCTTACTTTAGCTTTGATGACTGTAAAATTTTTCTCCCAACTAACTGTAAGTTCTTTTTATTCCGTCAGTCAGATAGGTAGAAAATATTGGGAAAGGAAGGAGACCAATTAGGTGATTGTCATAATAGGCCATGTGAGATAAAAGCAAATTTCTGAAGTAGAATAGTGACAAAAGAAAAGGAAAACCTGGGGGATAATCAGGTGTAAGATTTTGGACAGGAAAGAGCTCTTGGAGGTTGGCCATCAAGAATTACCAGGGTCTGGCTTTCCAGGAGTTAGAAGGGAAGGAGTGGTCAAACATAATACCAATATTCTGAGTGAAGAATTCTTGTGAGCTTATGTTCTGCCGGTGAGAGGCATGGAAGACTACAAATTGGAGGGCTTTGGGAAGGAAAATGAGTTAAGTTTTAAAAGTTTTCAGTTTGAGGTGTTTTTAGGACATTCAAAAGGAGATATAGAAATGTTAGCGAGAAATTTGGCACAAGATACCAAGACAGAAACGAAACATGTAGCCAGAATTTATCCTAGAAACACTGTGGAGATAGAAATTTCAGGCAAAGAAAACAAATGTGCAGAAGCCTAAAGGTTAAATAAAAGTGTTGTGCTCTGGTTTTCTGCAAGTAGTGTGATAAGACTAGGGCAGGGTGTATGGGGCACAAGGCAGAAGAAGCCGAGACTGGGATTGTAGGACACAGCTAGGATATGTATGAATATGTTGTGTGCAAAAGAAAGGATTCCAGAGTTTATCATGTAGGTGCTGGAAGGTTACTCAACATGCATGTGAGCTCAGCTGAGCCGTTACTCTACAGAAGATTTGTAAGTAGATTTTAAAAGCCCAAAGATTTGAGTTCACACATTCACTTGTGTGTGAAGTTTTCTGGATTTTGATAGCTGAAATTACACATCCAGACAAGTTCTTCCTTGTTAGGCTCAGTTAAGTTTTCTGCCCTGGATACAAAGCCTTTAGTCTTCTACTTCTGCTCCTACTCCTCTTTTGCCTTCTTCTCCTTCTAAAAGAGACCAGAAAGAAGATGACTTTTCTTAGGCTCAACACCTCATCAAACCCTCAACCTAGATTCTGAAGGAGGAGAATTAATTTTCAAAGTCATCCAAAGGCTATTCTACAAGTGCTGCTGCCAGAAGAGTAAATCTACCAACTTCCTGGTGTTAAGTATCAGTGGGGAGGTAGTGGAGGATTTCTGCAGGAAGAGACAGTTATGGATTCCTCTTCACATGAGAATTCTCTGGCACAAATCCTGGAGTTCCCATTTCTTAGGGCCACCTCCTCCTTGGTTGTAGTTGCACTTGATAGAATGATTCTATAATGAGAAGCAGCATGACATTGCCATCTTATATCTCTGACCTGAATGTGAATGTGTTACCAACAGCAAGGAAACTGGGAGATGAAAACAGGAAGGATTCTATTATCAGGCCTACATGCCCTCTATTGCTGCGCTAGGAATGCCTTATTGACATTCCTATTCACGTCCAACCCCAGCGTAATTAATCACTGGTGCATTTGCTATCCCAGGCTACAAAGATATGTCTTGAAGCCTTTTCAAGTTTCTTCCAAGCTTCTTGCCTTGGCATTTTCCCAAGCTGCTTCTTGAAGAACGGCAAGCTGGTATTTGGAACATATGGCGATGGTCTGTTTGTGTGTTCATTAAATCAAGATCCCAATGAAAAGAAAGCAGA